CCCCCCCCGGCACGGTTGGTGCTCCACACGTCTCTTAAATGCATCCTCAAGGCCACCAGCCCCAGTGCCCTTGAGCAGTCTCTTAGCGGTGCACCTGGCCTGCCGAGTGCAGACTACCACCGGCCTGGATGACGTTCGGGTAATTCGGAGCGGCGTCCGAGACCCGACCTGGGGAGGCCCCACGCTGCCCCCCGCACACTTGCACGAGTGCCCTGCACTGGTGACTTTGTGAACTTCTGACATGTGCGGCGGAGAGAGCCCCGAGTGGAAGCACGAGTCCTCTGTCCTCGTGAGGGACGTGGAGACTTCCATTTACTCATTTGCAAGAAGAAGAAAGGGGGCACCGGTTGCCTGTGCCCCTCATTTGAGAGGTGACTGGAGGGCTGTCCCGTAGGCGGCCGCCCCTGTTTCCCGCCACCCACCAACACTTCGAAGGAAGCGGCCTTCTCTCTGCCAGCAGTTGAGATGGCGCCTGAGGCGTCAGACGGGGCGCGTGCGCCTTGGAGGGAGAGGCCGGGCGCGGAGGGTGGAACGCGACTCCTCCTCCCCGCTCCTGTCCCGCCCCGTTTCCGGCGGAAGCGGCCTCAACAAGAGAAACTTTATTGTTCCCGCTGGGGCGGCGAGGATGTCGGTGAATTACGCGGCGGGACTGTCGCCGTACGCGGACAAGGGCAAGTGCGGCCTCCCCGAGGTGAGCTCGGCCCCGCGTCCCGAAGGCCGCCCCCGGCGCCGCGAGCTGGGCGGGGCCGGACAGCAGCGGGGCATTGTGGGAATATCGGGAGGCACTGAGGCTAGACAATGGGAGGGACTTCCCAGGGAGGAGGGGGCGGGAAGTGACGCCCCCTGCGCTCCCGGGGACCGGGACGCCCCCAGCCCCGGGTCGGCCGGGCTGGACCGAGCGAGGCCTTCGCGTTGCGGGAAGTCCTGAAGTTCTGATGGGGGAAGCGAGGGGACGCAGTTGCAGGCGGAAGGCTCGGCAGGGGCGAAGGCGAGGAGGTGGAAATAAATACACTTGGGGCACAAATTAGGCCAGAGCCGGGACCGCAGGGGCCGCACGTGCCAGACTGGGGAGCTGACACTTTATCCTGAGGGTGATGGACAAGGGTTTTAGGTTGGATGGACGTAGATATGTGTCAGAAGGACCCCTTCTGCCGCTGCAGGACTTGGGGTGAGTCACTTCCCTTCTGGGTCCCCTCGCCCCTCTGTAAACTGGGGGGAAGATTGCCCCCCTCCCCTAAAGGCTGGTCTGTGCGTTCTGAGGGAGGCATTTAATATGAACCCTCAGAATCCCTCCGAAGCCCCTCTCTTCTCTTCCTGCCTGTCCCTTGATTGGTCGCTTGATTCCACAAACATTTATTGAGCCCCTACTGGGCATCAGGCACTTTCTCAGCCCTGGGACCACAGTAGGGAACAAGGCATACAAAAGCCCCTTATGTTAGCAGGGAGACAGATACGGAGCAAGTAAATATAAGAAGTCCGATAATGGTAAGTAAGCTTCAGGGAGAAAAATAAAGCAGGGAGTGGTGAGGAGAGCTGGGCCTGCACTGAATCCAGGACCCAGGAGGCATCACTGGGATCACTTTTGGTTTTTCAATTTTTTTTTATTGTGGCGAAATACACAACATAAAATGTACCACCTTAACCATTTTCAGTGCATAGCTCAGTGGCATGAAGCACACTTACGCTGTCATGCAACCACCCTCATCATCCGTTTCCAGAACTTTCCATCTCCCCACACGGAGACTCTGTCCCCATGAAGCACGGACTCCTCACCCCCTGCCCCAGCCCTGGCTCCCACCCTCTCCTCTCCGTTTCTGTGGACGGGACTCCTCTGGGGACCTGAAGCTTACCATCATCGGACTTCTTATATTTACTTGCTCCTTGTCTGTCTCCCTGCTAGCATGAGGGAGTTTTGTATGCCTTGTTCCCTACTGTGGTCCCAGGGCTGAGAAAGTGCCTGATGCCCAGTAGGTGCCCAATAAATGTTTGTGGAATCAAACCTCCTGGGAGTGAGTTCCTGCGGGATGTGTCCTTCTTTGCCCGGCTACTCTCACTGACCACAGTGTCCTCGGGGTCCCTCCACGTCGTGGCAGGTGTCAGGGTCCCTTCCTTTCTGTGGCTGAACAATATTCCAGTGTGTGCATGGACTGCATATGTGTTTATCCTTCATCCATCTACAGACCCTTGGACTGATTCCACGTTTTAGCGATTGTAAATGATACTGCTGTGAACTTGGGTGTGCAAATGAGATGACTTTTGAGCCAAGACCTAAAGGAGGTGAGGGAGGAGCCATGTGGGAGCACTCCAGGCAGAGGGTACAGCCCATGCAAAGGTCCTGAGGCAGGACCAGGCCTGGTGTGTTGGAGGACTAGTGAGGAGGCATGTGTGACTGGAGCAGAGTGGGCGAGGGGGAGAGAGGGAGGAGGGTAGGATAGGTCATGCAGGGCCTTGAGGGCCGCTGGGAGGGCTTAGGCTTTTACCCTGAGGAATGCAGGAGCCCCGGAGGGCTGTGGGCAGAGGAGGGACATGAGGACAAGCTGCCTTTTCCAATCGGTTCTTCCCTCTGGGCAAGGCAGGGGCATCCCAATCTGTGGCTAGTGGCTTTGCCACTTGGGACATGTCTTGACCTCTCCCTTCTGCTCTGTCGCTGACAGATCTTCGACCCCCCTGAGGAGTTGGAGCGGAAGGTGTGGGAGCTGGCGCAGCTGATCTGGCAGTCCTCCAATGTGGTGTTCCACACAGGTGCTGGGATCAGCACCGCCTCGGGCATCCCTGACTTCAGGTCTGTGGGCATGCAGGGGACGTTGAGGCAGGGCCTACCACACCGCCAGCAGCTTCCCTGTTAGCTCACAGAGTTTTGGGCATCAGAACCCATCCTGCTGCCTTCCCCTTGGGGGTGTCGGGCACTGGAAAGACCCCGCCCTTGCAGACACGTCCCTTTAAGTCACGCACAACAGTCCACTCACACCCCATTGGCCAGAGCATGGTCACCTGACCATACCTAGCTGCAAGGGATCCTGGGGAATGTAGTCTCTTGCCTGGGCTCACCATGCATGCCTGAATACTGGGGTTCTATTACCTTAGACGATGGGAAGATCGATATCAGGGGCAATTAGCTCCATGCTCACTTGCAAATATTTTTCTCTCTTTTTTTTTTAAAGATTTTATTTATTCATTTGAGACACAGAGATACAGAGAGAGAGAGAGAGAGAGAGCATGAGCAGGGAGAGAGGCAGAGGGAGGAGCAGGCTCCCCGCTGAGCCAGGAGCCCGATGTGGGGCTCGATCCCAGGACCCTGGGATCATGACCTGAGCCGAAGGCAGACGCTTAACCATCTGAGCCACCCAGGCGCCCCTGCAAATATTTTTCTATCAGACCTGGTGTCAGGCAAGTGGCTTGAACCATCCAGACCTCAGCCTCTCACCTATTAACAAGGGTGTGCAACCAGACAATGTCTAGACTCCTCTCTCCTTGGTGCATACTGTGTTAGACAAGAGTTTTCTTGGTGAAGCATCCACGTCTCAACTGGCAACCCCCTAGCGGCCCCTGTAGGCACTGAGTTTGCAACCCTGCCCCATAGGGCAGGCCTGTCGCATTTATACTCCCTCCCTAGGCCTCATGGGCCCGTAGCCCAGACTTGCAGCAGGAGAGCAGATTCCTGGTTCTTCTTCTTCTTCTTTTTTTTTTTTTTTAAGATTTTATTTATTTGACAGAGAGACACGGCGAAAGAGGGAACACAAGCAGGGGGAGTGGGAGAGGGAGAAGCAGGCTTCCCACTGAGCAAGGAGCCCGATGTGGGGCTCGATCCCAGGACTATGACCCGAGCCGAAGGCAGATGCCCAACAACTGTGCCACCCAGGCGCCCCAGGTTCCTGGTTCTGGAAGGAATGTTAGGCTTCTAAGGCGTGACTCCCTCCCACCCCTCCTTCACAATCTGCCATGGCTCCCCACTGCCACACAGGAGAGTTCCAGGTACTTCGGGCTGGAAATCAAAGCTCTTCCTGCTCTGGCCTCGGGACATCTCTCCCACCTCAGCCCCTGCTGCTCCTACTGGAGCCCCCAGACCACTTGCATTTCCCCAACTCATAGGCTGTTGTCAGTCCCCTAGGCCTCTGCTTACCCCTTCTGCCTGAATCGCTCTGCCCTTTCCTCGCACAGTTGAAGAGACAACTCAGCCTCCTCCAGGAAGCCTTCCCGCACTCCCCATGCATAGCCCCCACCCCCTCCACTGGGCTCTTCCAGTTCCACAGGCTGCAGGGTCTGTGGCCACTTGTGTCCCCCCTCCACAAGATGGAGGACTCCTCGAGGGCAGGGCCCAGGTCCAGTAGGACCCCAGCATCACCCAGCACAGGGCCAGGCTCAGTGCAGCAGCAGGAAATGTTGACTGAAATGAATAATTTTTTGCCCTCATGCACCACATTCTCCCTCCTCTCCCCTTACCCTCCCTCTTTTTCTCTCCCCTCTCTTTGTCTTGCTCACTCTGTCTCTTTCTATCTCTTGTCTCCCTGATTCTCTGTCTCTGTCTCTGTCTCTAATGCTCGGTCTCTTATTCTGTATCCCTATCTCCTTGAACCCTAAACTCTCTGTGTCTCTCCCCACCTGCTGCCTTCAGGGGCCCCCATGGCGTCTGGACGATGGAGGAGCGGGGCCTGGCCCCCAAATTCGACACCACCTTTGAGAGCGCGCGGCCCACGCAGACGCACATGGCCCTGGTGCAGCTGGAGCGCGTGGGCCTCCTCCGCTTCCTGGTCAGCCAGAACGTGGACGGGCTGCACGTGCGCTCCGGTTTCCCCAGGTAACCCCCGGCTTCCGGCCCCGCTCGGCCTGGGCCAGGCCACACCTCTCTCTGGGCCTCAGTTTCCTTATCTTTAAAATGAGCATGGACGCCAGCCCCTCCCCCGTGAGGCCACCGTGGCAATCTAGTGAGGCGGCGGGGAGAAGCGCTTGGTGCCCAGTAGGGCTCTGTGAACCAGAGCGGTCCTGCACGGTCACTACCTCCCAAGTCCCATTTTGGAGGACGAAGCACTGATCCCCCAGCACCCACTGTGTGCAGACAGGAGCAAAATGGATCACACCCGACAACCATTTACAACCACTTATCCAGTGCCCACTGGCGCCGCATGCTGTTCTAGACACAGGATGCTGGGCACACAAGACGGAAGCGCTGCCCTCCCAGGACTTATGCTCCCGTGGCGAGGAAACAGAAGACGAGATAAATCAGCGAATTGCATTCTAGGTCAGGCGGTGATCACTGCCAGGAAAGAGAAGGGGAAGGTAGGGTGGGCAATGCAGCCTGTAACAGACCAGGGGGGCTGTGACATAGGAGTGGGGACATGAGGGAGGTGACCAAGGGAACCAGGGCAAGAGCCCAGGCCTGATCATTGCTCCCCCAACTATCCCAAAAGTTAGGCACTGCTGTCCCGTTTCTCGGACAGGGCCTGAGGCACAGAGAGGTTAAGCGACCTGCCCAACGTGACACAGCTGGGAAGCAGTAGCGCCGGGAGTTGATCCCATGTTCCTCTGCTTCCAAAGCCCATGCCCCCTGGGCCTCCCATCGCCTCAGGTTCTTCCTTTGCAAACTGGGGATCAGAACTCCTGTCCTTCAGACTTGGTGACATTCGGAGGTTCCGACATGATTGTGGATGGATTTTGTGAGCGGAATGGGCTGTCTGTGAACAGAGGTGGGGTCAGCCATGAGGTTAATGACTCCTCGGGCTCAGAGAGGTTGGGCCATCTGGGTGAGGTTGTACAATGTGTGGATGGTGGAGTCAGCAGCCAGAGGCACCAGAAGGAGAGAGTCCATTGATCCTATGGTTGAAGGCTTAGGGAAGGCTTCCTGGAGGAGGAGGGCTCGGTACTTGGCCTGCAGCCTCAGGAACCAGAACCCTGTGCCACGGCTATGTGTCTCTCTTCTCCTTCCACAGGGACAAGTTGGCAGAGCTCCATGGAAACATGTTTGTAGAAGAGTGTGTCAAGTGTAAGACGTGAGTGCCACGGGGGTGGGGGGAGTTAGGGTTAGAATGGGCCGGCCCCATTCTCTGTGACCTCCCGGGTCAGGCTCTGTGTAAGAGCCTTATGAGTCTCCTCTGGCGTGGCCAGAGACCCAGGCTGGGGTGGGGGCTGGGGGCTTGTGTTCCTCCTGGGGAGGCGCATTCCCCTCCTGCGCTGCCCTAACAATGACCACAAGCTGAACAGCTCGAAACAGAAATGTGTCATCGTGGCCTGGAAGCCGGAAGTCAGAGATCGGTTGTTGGCAGGGCAGGGCTCCTGCTGAACTCTGCAGGGGGCGCTCCTTCCTTCCCTTTTGCGTCTTCTGGAGGTTTCTCACAGTCCTTGGTGCTCCTCGGCTTGTCTTCCCCTCACACCACCCTCCGCCTGGTTCATAAGGACACCAGTCCTATGAGATGAGCGCCAGCCTCCCCTGTGTGATCTCATCTTAACTCGTTACATCTGCAACGATCCTATTTCCAAATGCGGTCACGCTTTAAAGTATTGGGGGCCAGGACTCCAACATATCTTTGAGGGGACACAATTCAGCCCATAACGGAGTGTGACAGAGGTGTGTCGGCCCGCTCTGGGAAGGCTGAGTCAGAGCCCTTCCCAAAGCTGGGGTGCTCTGCTTGTGTCTCCTTGAGCTGGCTGAGCAGCCACCCAGGTGGGGCCCCCAAGTAAAAAAAAAAAGTGTCCCCAAATTTATTTTGAAAAATTTCAAATCTACAGAAAACTCATATAAGAATTATTTGATGAACCCGAACTTAGCCTAGACCAGAGCTCAGCAAGCTTTTTCTGTAAAGGGCCAGATGGTAGAACGTTTTCAGCTTTGTGGCCCAGGCAGTCTCCGTCAGGATCCTGACGGGCTCTGCTGTCGTGGTGTGAAAGTCGCCATAGACAACACAGGAAGGAATGGGCATGGCCGTGTGCCAATAAAACTTTATTCACAAAGACAGGAGGCTGAGGGCCAGATTTGATCCTCGGGGCCATAGTTTGCTGATCTCAACATGGATTTGACAATCTTTTGTCCCTATTTTGTTAGTCCTTGCTGTGATGTTGAGGCGTAAGTGTCCACTGCCCCAGGCCCACGGGACACATGTCTCCCGTGGCCACAGCACATTCGTAGTAAAGGCCGGGATGTGGACAACCGTGTAGATCATCCAGGCCCTCACCTGGCTTCCCAGTGCTCCCATGCCTTCTATTTTTGTCCCAGTCCACGATCCAACCTGGGGTCATGCTTTGCATGTCATTGTCAGGTCTCTCTAGTCTCCTCGGTTTGGAATACTTCCCAGCCTTTCTGTTTCCATCCCCCTGGCATTGGGGTGCAACCAGGCCGGCTGTGTTGTGGAAGCCCCCCACTTCCCTGGGAGAACAGCTCCCCCAAAAGAGCAAGAGCCGCCCAGATCAGGCTGCAGGGGAGCAGGGGGTGGGCTGACCCAGCCCCATGGGGCCCTCTTCCTCCCCCAACACAGGCAGTACGTCCGGGACACTGTCGTGGGCAGCATGGGCCTCAAGGCCACGGGCCGGCTCTGCACCATGGCCAAGGCGAGGGGGCTCCGGGCTTGTAGGTGAGTGACCTCTCACTGCACCTGGATGCGGGGTGGGGGGGTGCATGTCTCCATGCTGATCCCCCCACCCCTCCCCTGCAGGGGGGAGCTGAGAGATACCATCCTGGACTGGGAGGACGCCCTGCCTGACCGGGACCTCACTCTCGCCGATGAGGCCAGCAGGTCTGACCCTCAGATGAGCCCAGATTGGGCAGGTGGGGACACAGGCAGAAGCACAGCCAGCTCCGGCCCTGGGCCATCAGGAGAGGCTTCCTGAAAGAGATGGCTGCCCTGCTCTGGGCCTCACTGTCCTCTTCCTGACGCCCTGCTCTGGGCCTCACTGTCCTCTTCCTGACGCCCTGCTCT